ACTAAACTGGGGGGAGAGGCTAACACACCAGAAGACTGTGCTGCCATTCAGAGGGACCTGGACAGGCTGGAGAGCTGGGCGGAGAGGAACCTCCTGAAGTTCGACAAAGGCAAGTGCAGGGTCCTGCACCTGGGGAGGAATAATCCCATGCACCAGTACAGGCTGGGGACTGACCTGTTGGGAAGTAGCTCTGCCGAGAAGGACCTGGGAGTGCTGGTGGACAACAAGTTAAACATGAGCCAGCAGTGTGCCCTTGTGGCCAAGAAGGCCAATGGGATCCTAGGGTGCATTAGGCAGAGTGTTGCCAGCAGGTCGAGGGAGGTGATCCTGCCCCTCCACTCAGCCCTGGGGAGGCCTCCCCTGGAGTACTGTGTCCAGTTCTGGGCTCCCCAGTACAAGCGAGACATGGCACTACTGGAGAGAGTCCAGCGGAGGGCTACAAATCACAGAATCAGAGAATCGTTTAGGTTGGAAGGGACCTCTGGAGATCATCTAGTCCAACCTCCCTGCTCAAGCAGGGTCACCTAGAGCATATTGCCCAGGATCACATCCAGACGGCTTTTGAATATCTCCAGCGAAGGAGACTCCACCACCCCTCTGGGCAACCTGTTCCAATGCTCTGTCACCCTCACAGTGAAGAAGTTTTTTCTCAGGTTCAGATGGAACTTCCTCTGGTTCAGTTTCTGCCCATTGCCTCTGGTCCTGTTGGTGCCCAGCAACAGGACCAGAGGCAATGGGCAGAAACTGAACCACAGGAAGTTCCATCTGAACCTGAGAAAAAACTTCTTCACTGTGAGGGTGACAGAGCATTGGAACAGGTTGCCCAGAGAGGTGGTGGAGTCTCCTTCGCTGGAGATATTCAAAAGCCGTCTGGATGTGATCCTGGGCAATATGCTCTAGAGGTCCCTGCTTGAGCAGGGAGGTTGGACTAGATGATCTCCAGAGGTCCCTTCCAACCTAAACGATTCTGTGATTCTGTGATTCTGGATCTAATTCCTGATCATAGTTCAAAGCTGTAAATCTCATAATTGGGGAAAGAGCAATAACATCACACAGCTTTTCAGCCTACAAACTACCATGATATCAAGGGTCTCCAAAGACTTTGCAGATGTCAGAACTACAAAGAAAAGTTCTACTAACTCATGTGAGAATAGCCCCTGGAAATGTATCTGGCAGGGAAAATTCCTCATCTCAACAACTGTCTTCTCATCTGAGCTAGGCTTCAGCGGGATATACAAAATGAACCTCTTTCAGAAAACTATCCCTAGTGACAATTTGCCATCCTCATCTAGGGGTAGAGGAGGAAGGAAGGAAGGAAGGAAAGAAGGAAGGAAGGAAGGAAAGAAGGAAAGAAGGAAAGAAGAAGGAAAGAAGGAAAGAAGGAAAGAAGGAAAGAAGGAAAGAAGGAAAGAAGGAAAGAAGAAGGAAGGAAGGAAGGAAGGAAAGAAGGAAAGAAGGAAAGAAGAAGGAAAGAAGGAAGGAAGGAAAGAAGGAAAGAAGGAAAGGGAAGAAAAAAGTAAAAAGATACTAGAAAATTTGCTCATTGATCGTCATACATGAAAGCACCCAGTCCTTTCTGAGCAAAAGCAGAAGATTCAAGCAAATCGTTAGCTACACCCCATGCATGATGCTGGGTCACTCTGCATATTGTAGGATGGGTAGCAAAAAGGCGTCATGCTCTTTGTGATGATTTCAACACGCAGGAATCTAATGTCGAGCAAGTGGTATTTCAACGTCACACTGACCATGCATTTATAAATGCCCCAGATGTTTCCAATGTGTCAAACATATTTTATTTTGGTGACCAAGAAATAATCACTAATCTCTTGTTGCCCATTTAAATATTTGAGTTGGACAGAACAGCTAGTATGTGTAAAAATACGAACACTTCTATTCTACAGAAACAGCTGTTTGGAAAATTATTGTAGAAAGAGAAAATGTCTTGGCACAAAGCTTGGTGTTACATGCTTACACTTTGAATTTAAGTTACATATACCTACATTTTAGAATGAACATCTAATTTTGTTCTTTCATGTAAAACTGAGGTATTCCAATCAGATGAGTTGTCTTTATGGCTATTCTGGCCTTAACTTCTCTCTCAAAGTGCAATAATAATAGTACTTTATCCATTAAACTACAGTAACCATCAGGCAAACAAACAACTATTTTGGCTCATAAATCTCAGTGAAACCAAACGATTCTCAACATTTCTCTCCCATTAGTTAGTGGTACACTCACTGAGTG